ACTTTGCTATTGTCATCAAAGGCGATCAATAAGACCGACAAATATGGTCTGCACGCAGAAGATCACAAGAGATCACCTGCAGTACCACAAAAAAATTATGTACTTTCAGATCCTACCCAGATTTTCAGCCATGTAACTAGCCAAAACTGCGCAGTCTTGAGCCGCCAGAGCCCAGAAATGCTCAAGCAGGGGAGCTATCAGTTAAACCCGTTACGATATTCCCCGCCGCATTGTTATAACCCACACTCCATCGTGCTTTTCAAAGAGACAAGTTGCAACTATCCGACGCAATGACATATCATTTTTGCGGTGGATTTCTGGGTTTTGTGAACAGTGCTACCAAAAGAGAAAAATGGAGTTGCGATGAGACGACACACTGGGAGAGGAATGATTTATTAGACCACAACAAGCCTTTTATGCATTCACAAATCATTATCAATCCTCTCATCCAATCATCCTCACTCTCTCCATTCTCACATTCCACACCGCTCCCCTACACCTCCCCCAGTGACCATCCGGTCACTCCAGGTTCCTGGGGAGCGGCCCTCCACTCTACAACAGTGGACCACGGGCATTGCAACCCACTATGTGTTGTCTTGCTTCAGTAAACACTACCAACACAACTCTTTATTAAATCATTATAATTCTTCGTTGCCGCCGTCCCCTCTTACAGGCGACGGTGTCTAGGGCCTCCTAGCCCGGCTCCTACTTTTTCGAGTTTTACTTCGTGGCCGACCACGTCCTCGTCCTCGTCGGGACCCATCCCTGCTCCTGCTCCGGCTTCTTCTTCTCGGTCGATCTCGGCTCCTGCTTCTCGATCGGTCACGGCTCCTGCTGTTCCATCGGCGGTGCCACTGCACCTCCCGCTGTAGACTTCTTACCGCCGTCCACAGCGCTTTACTGCGCTGCGGACGGCGCCTTCTTCCTCGTGACGGCGGGGCTGGAGCTCCCGGCTGCACGGGCATTGCAGCCATCACGGGAACTATCCCCGCCCAATTCGGCAGCCCCATGTGGAGGACGGCAGGCTGTTGTACGAGGATGGAGGGGAGGGGGGGTGGCGGTTGAACAACGGGGCTTGCCCCGTCCCCCTGCTGCCGCGGTGCTTGGGAGCGAACATAACAGAGGGACCACACCCATCCATCCTTCTTTTATGGGCACCGCGGTAATAACTTTTGTTTTTGTTTTCTCTTCATTCACTATCATCCTTATGCAGTTTATTTTCCTACGCTTTTCATTTTCCTGGAACTCTTTCATTCTAGCGGTAGCCTGCCGCTTCCTTTGAGAACGACGCGGCGGTATCGTTTGTAGGTTCTCTAGCTTGTACACGAGCTCTCCGGTCCCTTTTCTCTAACCATCCCTCATCTACTAACTCCCACGGAATCACTCTTTCTTTCATCTGATCCGCATGGGTTTTTCTTACTCCCATGCCGAAATGAACTTCATAAGTACTTGAGCCTAGAACGATCAAGAATGAAATCACCGTCATGAACGAAATCCTACGTGGAACTAGCTATAGGAAAATAACAAGTGAATTATTACATACATATTGACTGCAGGAAGGCCATCTGTGAGATCCCACATACAAAGCTGACCCATTTTGTTTCCACTCACAATCCACTGAAAAATACAGGCAACAATATACAAAGAAAATGCAATTTACCGCAGTGAATGGAGGTCTGCACATACCCTGTTAAGAGGATCAATATCAAACTTTATAAACCATATGTCTGAATCAGGTAGATCCAATCGAACGAGTTGCAGAGCGGAAGTGTCTACCTATACAGCGAATAAGAGGATGGCCAAACGTGTATCTGTAAGATCCACTGCACATACCTGTAGTTTTGGTCTAATCTTATAGAACTCCTCTCCAAATGAGCCGAAATCTGAACACAACCATCGACATATCAGATCCCTGAAAAAGAACCCAACTCTTTACTCATATACTAAACGAATTTTTGAGAAAACAGAACCTTAGAGACAACATAATGCCCAAGAAATCGTACGCAATCTACATAATCATTATGTAGATCGGTATTGATGGCAATAGGGTAGTGTATTTGAATAGTTCTTCCGGATTGACAATCGCTAAAATATTTGAATAAACGAAAAGAAATGAACAACAAACGTATTCATAGAAATAACCTCAAACTGACAAAACAATACAACAAACAAAAAAGTACTTACGAGATCTTACCAAATAATCAGAGACAAAAATATCGAAGAATTTGAACTTTCGGTCAAACTTACTCAGCTATCTCCCTTCGAATATTGGCTTGACCTTTTAATGTCATGCTATCGCGTATCCGCTCCTGTAGTTTATCTGTTCCCAAATGCCACAGTCTGATGGAGTGATCCATACTGCAGGAAACAATGTATTTGCTATCAAGCGACCAGTCCTGTAATTCAAAACAAAATTTATCTAATTCTGGTTTTGGATAAAACGGAAGGGATGAAGTTCTTGCTCTTGATCAATCCCTTCTAGGATTCGGCACGCATTCTACTTTCGTTCAGGATCGCGCACTGAATGCGATGTTGCTTTAGTGAAAACGAGATATGCGCTTTCGAAACATGAGGTTAAAGAGCGCAAGAATTTCCTCCACGACCAATTACAAAATAATGGTGCAGCCAGTGACCTCAGATGTAAAATACTGATGAATAACTTTCTCCGTGCATTTGATAAGAAAGCTCGAAAACGAGTTACAGTGTAATACAATGCAGTACAGTGAAGGTCCACGTGTTCTACCGTAAAATTTATTTAAATGAAAGGCTGCACTCAATAACAATAACTATTCGATTACTACTTTATTAATCAACATTTTTGGCTAATTTTAAAGCTGAAAGGATAAACGGCACGTGATCGTATGAGCACATAAACGAAAAAAGCACAAATATTGACGAAAATTACCAAAAAAGAAAGTTCAATGCAAATTGGCGTTTAGCCCTATCTCGCTACTGAGCAAATGAAAACTTGAAATTTTTACCAGGGAAAGGATTTGATCCTTATGTCCTTCATATCCTCCTAAGATTGCAATTGGTCCATGAACTCGTATATTCCATAATCGGATGGTAGTATCCTTGCTGACAGATGCAAATATCATCGAGTTATTGGGATCAGTACGCATCTCGTTAACGTGGTCACCATGGCCATACATGTCCTGAAATGTCGAGTAGTTTTTGAGGACCCCACGTTATGAAAGATTTAATGGTACCATCAACAATTTCCCTGAGCTTGGGTCAACAAGTCGAATTAGGCCAGAGTAGCCACCAAACGCTATTCGATGAGCTTTATCAGTGATATCGTAACACCAGGTCAATGTGAATATGTCCATATCGGGCTGCAATACATAATATGAGTGTGCCTTTATCTTTGCTAGGGTTCGTGACTTCACTAGAGCCCGCAAATAAAAAATGAGGAAAAGCACAGTGCACAAGAGCGAAACACCTGCTGCACAGCAAGAAGAAATGAAATGAATATGGATTACCGACGGATCCTTGATGCTCCTCACAAGGATAATTTTATTCGAATCCAGTGGACACTCATAGATAGTAATCTAAAAAGAACAAAGCCTAACATTTACTTGTCACAAGAAGAACTATACTTTTAGAAACGAATAAACTGACCATGTTCTTAGCGGCAGTGGCAAGCAACGGTACGCATATGTCTGGCTGATATGGATTGAAAGCACATGCATAAATCGGCTGACGATGTTGCTCCTGGATGATGTATCTTAGAATAACTCTGATGCCTTAGAAGCTGTAATCCACAGCACTGTACAAATGATCTTTCTTTCGGTCCCTATTCGACAATACCCCCCCCCCAATCTTCTGTGATCAGGCCAGTTGTTAACACGTTTCCGATCGCGTAACACACATGGTGTGTCATGCATTTGTCTCTATGCTGTTTTATGTGATTATTTTGACTTTTCTTTCATATTCTGTTGTTCTGAAAACACTTTTTGATTATCGACATATCCTCCTCCAAAAGAGATTGAGACGAAGGAGAAATTACTGATCAGTTATTCATGAAAAATGACGAAATTATTGGAACATGCGCGCAGTACGCGGTGCAATATGTTTATCGACTTTTTGATACGAGAGCACATTTGGCTGAAAATTTGCTTCCAGGAATAGTTCGACTTCCTAAACGCAAATATCTCATCCGCTTGGCCTGAAACTGCCCGGCATCCGTGCTGCAGGTGGCAGTGCCAAAGCACCCTATATCACCAACTTGTCCCCGAGGTTCTTTGACACACTCATACGGATATTCATTCCTCGCACCAGCGTTGACGGAGGATGCTGCGATCGTCTGTGCTTCGCTAAGGCTGAGCCTGGCCCGAATGGAATCACACCCCCTCCCAGGCGCAGTCTTAACTGAGTGCTGAACGGTCCCAGTGTCGGAAATGAATGCATTTCGTGTTCAACATCATCAAGCATCGTGAGCACCAAGCAACCCTATTATGCAAGTTTTTTTTCGATTTCGGTGAAAAAAGGTGTGGCGCCAAATGGGTCCAAGGGTAAAAATAGATGTCATATTCGCCGGGGTACCGAAAGTTGCAAGTGTACACAAAATTTGGTGAGAAAAGTGGTGACGCTAAATTGGCGCTCAGTAGCGACAGATGGCGTGAACAACGGATGTCGCATCATGGTCAGAACTTCGGATAATTCGTACAAGGTTCAAAATTTTTCCGAGTTTTTGGGGTAGTATTGCTTGAAAGTACCAAGAGTTCGAGTGTTATAACCACTTGATGGAAAAAATAATGGACTATATTAGCTAATAACAAGCACAAGCCACTGTGTAGCAGAAACAAAACGTAGTTTCTGACGGAGTTCCGGAGTCGAAGTGGAATATACTAGACAAATTACAGGAAAACCCAGAACCAATAGA